TCTTACCCTACAACAACAGGAACAACAAAACATGTTTATCGTATATAACTTACTTTATACAGCTTAAATTATGCCCACATTGACCAAGTTTGAATTTTGAGGTGAATTCCTACCCTAGTTGGGGTTCAAAAAAGGATCTCACACCCCTTTCCCATCATGTTTAGCTTTACTGCATCCAGTTTTGGTCACCGCGATGTAAAAAAGATGTTGAGACTTTAGAAAGAGTACAGAGAAGAGCAACAAAGATGATTAGGGGACTGGAGGCTAAAGGATATAAGGAACGGCTGCTGGAATTGGGTATGTCTAGTTTAATGAAGAGAAGGACGAGGGGGGACATGATAGCAGTGTTCCAATATCTCAGGGGTTGCCATAAAGAAGAGGGAGTCAAGCTATTCTCCAAAGCGCCTGAAGGCAGGACAAGAAGCAACGGATGGAAACTAACCAAGGAGAGAAGCAACCTAGAACTAAGGATAAACTTCCTGACAGTTAGAACAATTAATCAGTGGAACAACCTGCCTCCAGGGGCTGTGAATCTCCAACACTGGAGGTTTTTAAGAAGAGACTGGACAGCCATTTGTCCGAAATGGTATAGGGTTTCCTGCCTGAGCAGGGGGTTGGACTAGATGACCTTCAAGGTCCCTTCCAACTTTACTATTATTATTATTATTATTATTATTATTATTATTATTATTATTATTATTATTATTATTATTATTATTATTATTATTATTACCTGTACTGGGAGAACCTCAGCTGAAAGAGTCACCAGAGGAAATTCAAAGGAACAGATCTGTTTGTTGTGACTGAGAATCTTCCTGAATCTTCTTCTGAGTAATCCCATCCTGGGATCTTAGCTCTTTCTTTGGGTCTACTTTCCATCTGGGCCTGGAAGAACCTCCCTTTTCTCTAGATCTCTAGCTTTTCTCATAGTCCTAAGAAGATGTTTATCCCTTGATAAAGGATTATCTGGGACACCCAAATGGGCTCTCTCACTACATCTTTGGGATATGACAAAACCACTTCCCTAGCTGAGTTTCTAATGGTCAGTTTATGTATCTCTGATGAGAATATCTGAGAATACTCTTGACCTTTTGTTGAAAATTGATCTGAACCTATGGATGGGGCGACCATGACTCGTAGTGCAGAATAAAAGCTAGGGTTGATGGCACCTGCCTTATAGAACATCAACCCCACTGAAGTACAATTAGCTCCCTCCCTCTTTTTCATATCATTGCTGTATAGTGGTTTTGCCACTCAGAGACGTATTTTGTGAGATGACAGGTGCAACTTTCAGTTGTGAGGCTAAGACGAAGGACAGCTCAAAGCAATTCAGCCAGAGCACAGTTATAGATTTGCTTACACACAATACAAGGACTGCCTATTGTCTCTACACACAGATATGCACTCACACAAACACACGCAAACACACAGACACACAAAATGTCATGGTTGTAATAGATGAGATCATTTAAAAGAACTTCAAGGCAAGAATTTCTTCCTTGAAGAGCATTTTATTTTGGCTACAACATAACGGCACATACAAGGGTAAACCCAAGACTAAATTCCCCTCCCCTTGGTTACAAAGTTGCAAGTTTCATTTCCCACACCAAATTGCTGTCCTGTATCACATTCACCAATTGTAGGAAAACGCGGGCACTCCTCCCAGCTGCTTCATCCTGCCAAAATGAAGAGAAGGACGAGGGGGGACAGGATAACAGTGTTCCAATAACTCAGGGGCTGCCTCAAAGAAGAGGGAGTCAAGCTATTCTCCAAAGCACCTGAAAGCAGGACAAGAAGCAATGGATGGAAACTCATCAAGGTGAGAAGCAGAACTAAGGAGAAACTTCCTGACAGTTAGAACAATTAACCAGTGGAACAACCTGCCTCAAGAAGTGGTGAATGCTCCAAAACTGGAAGTTTTTAAGAAGAGACTGGATAGCCATTTGTCTGAAATGGTCTAGGGTTTCCTGCCTGACCAGGAGGTTGGACTAGATGACCTCCAAGTTCCCTTCCAACTTAGCATTTTGTCTACCTATTAAGTCCTTACCAAGGACCTGGTATAGGCAGATGTGGATGTTTGATGGCATTACAGATATCGTCGCAGGATGGAAGCAGTTCCTAGTAAGGCTGCCTTTTGCAATTGACTAATGGCAAATTTGTCAATGCCAATGGTGTTCAAGTGGTGCTCCAGTTGTTTTGGGATTGCACCCAAGGTGCCTATTACTATTGGTACTACCCTTGCTTGCTCTTGACACAGTCTTTCTATTTCTATTTGTAGGTCTTTGTATTTTGTTATCTTGTCCAGTTCTTTCTCATCTATTCTGCTGTCTCCAGGCACTGCCACCTCCACTATCCAGACTTTTTTGTCTTTCTTATCAACAATTGTTAAGTCCGGGGTGTTATATTGGAGGTGCTTGTCTGTTTGAATGCTCTGTAGCATCTGAGGGTCGTCCTGGATTCACAGCTCCTGCTGGAAGAGCAGGTGGGAGGGTCTTTGACCACTCTTTAGTGGTACACCAGTTGGGTCCATCTCTGGACCAGGAGACCCTCCTCAATGTCACTCACGCCCTTGTGTCCTCGCTTCCGGACTATTGCAATATTTGGGTGCATGTTTTAATTCTCAGACCTTGTGTCCCTCCAAGCTTAATGTAACTTAAGAGAAAACCTTTAGCTTTTGATTCAAAGCAAAGTTTGCAAACCTTGGACGGCAACTTTTTTATGGATATCGTTGTGCACCAAGTGAAGGTGAGTTGAACAGAATTATGGTGATTTCTCTAGCAATAACAATAACGCTTAGACTTATACACCACTTCACAGTGCTTTACAGCCCTTCTGAGAGGTTCACAGAGTCAGCATCTAACCCCCCAAATGTACAAACATTGTACTCTGCGCAAAATTGTTATATTGTCATTATTGCCCCTATTAGTATGCTCACGGGCTTAAGTGATGAACACAGACATGTGATTCACTTGTTCCCTGTTTAAAAAAAGCTCAGGATTGCGACACAACCATGTTCCTTTCCAGATAGTATCTTTTACCGATAAGTCTCTAAATACTTTTAATTTTGTTTTTTTTTAGGGTTGAGCATTCAGGTCACAAGCTTCCTCCTGACTCACTGAGGTTGTACCCCACAGATGTGAATGTGACATCCTTGCTTTTCTGGATGGTCCATGTTGGTAGAGAGTGAAGAAGATGACCTTGGTGGACATACACAAGCTCCGTAGCTAGGGCAACCATGGGTAAAGCATATCATCTCCCTTGCTAAAATGGGGGGGGAATAGACCATCTCCCCTGCCCTACCCTTCTCCCCCCAAGTCTCCCTGTTCTTTTCCCTTAATCCTAGAAATCTAGTCCTGCAAGGACAACACCTCAATAACATAATGATTGCCTGCTCCCATCCTGGGCTACACTTTTCAGGGTGCTGAGAAGATGGCAAGCTGAAAGTTTTTCTGCTCATCTGAATAGCTTTCTGGGGTGTTCAGGTGCACAGACGATGTAGCAGAGCGAAACCTCTACTTCCTTTGCTAAGATAATAATGATCCAACTCAGTCAGGTTGCGAGTATTCGGATGGAGAGCTCTAAGAATGGGAGGAGAGACTGGGGAATAGGAAGATTGTGGTCCTCCCTAATTCTGGGCTGGCATAAACCATTTCAGACATTCAAATCAGCCCTGGAGTTCCAGGATGTTGAGGATCCGCTCAGCACCACCAAGTGGGGTTTTCTGAATACAGAGGTGATGTGGAAGATGAAGAACAGTGAGGTGCCTGGTCCAGAGAGAACCTCAAACCCTCCCCATGCCTTTGAAGAGGATGCAGAAGAATCAGCTAATGTGGAATGTGGGGGCGCAAGCAATCAAGTGTGCCCCTAAAATGGCACACTCTACCCCTCTCATCCACAAGCTACTTTGATTACCAGTTTGCTTCTGAGTCCAAGGGACTGGTTGTGACCTTGAAAGCATTTCCTAGCATGAGCTTGTGTTATTTGTGGGACTGCCTCCTCCCAATTAAACCTGCCCCTCCCATCAGATCCAGCAGAAGAGGCGTGTTGTGGGTCCTGTCTGCTAAGGAGCTACATCTGGTGGGACCCAGGAGGCCGGAAATTTCTGCCATGGTGCCCACCTTATAGAACATCAACCCCTCTGAAGCAACGTTGGCTCCATCCTTCTTTTTAACATCGATGCTTTATAGTGGTTTCGCCACTCAGAGACGTATTTTGAAAGATGACTGGAGGAGCCTTCGGTTGTCAGGCTAAGACTAAGGACAACCCAAAGCAATTCAGACAGAATTTAGTTCTCTATTTGCTTACACACAATGCAGAGGTTCTTGCCAGACTGAACCCTTCTTTCTCTCATCCTAAGGGATACACCCTGGGAGATTCCAGGGATTGGGTATCCGAATTCTCTTCCTCTGTCTCATATATAGTTTAGGGCTGGGCTGCCTCTTTGCTCTACAAACACACACACACAAACAGACACGCAAACATTTTCTGGAATGTCCTCTCTCCTTCGTGGGTAAGAAGGACTATGTCATTGTAGTTGATCACACTAGGCCCGTGTCAGATTGCATGCTTCTAGCTTTCCAAAGTTCTGGAGGAGAGGAGGGGAAATTTTTGAATCCACAGGTGCTCCTTACCAACCTGAGAGCTGAAGAGACGTTTTGGGAACTAAAGTTTGTTCTCAAAACAATTGCTAGAAGATATATTGGACAATGTGACCTGAACTGTCAGAGAGCGGAGGGAAAGTTTTACTCTTTTAATCATCTGTTTCCCACCATAGTTTCAGAGTTAGCTTTTCTTCAAACTTGCCGGATTGTTTCATTCCTAATAAAGTTCACACTGGAGTTCATCACGTCAAGCCAAGCCATGATTCAACAGGGATTGGACCTAATCCCGCTCATCCCAGCATCACTGTTTGACGGATCCTGGAGGGAGACTCAGAAACGGTGGATTTTTGTGAGAGGGATGTTCAGTTTTGAGCGGGGAAATTCGAAAAATGAAAACACTTGAATTGAATGCTGAGGTTTATTGGATTCTCAAACTACAGAACTAGCAGAACGAAGCTTGCAGAACAAGGGAAAAGGGGAAGAGGATGAGGGGTGTCAAGGAAAACAGAAAGGGGATTATGGACCATCCTGTGGTAAAAGGCAGAAGTGTAAATCTTCAAGGAAATTACATGATGTTGCACCTGGTCATATTGCAACACTTAGTTGTTTGAGGCATAGTGCAATTTGTAGTACATCCCCTTTTGACCAAATGGACTGTGAAGGAAACACAAAGCAGAACGATTATCTTAAAAAATGCCAAAGAACAGATCTGGGGCTGTGGCTGAACAAAATGGTAAACCCACTTTTAACACATCGGTGGATTCCTCCCCCCCCCAGTAGGAAGGCGGACCTCCTTCCTCCTCTAGGGAATACTCAGGAGTCAATGAATAAACAAAGATATCTCTGGGGGAAAGTCCCATGTTCTGACATGACTCGGGGGCAATTCCATCCCTTTTGAATATTTAATGTGGGAGATCTAATTCCAGAACAAACCCCCAATCCTACCCCTTTCCCTCAACCCCTTTCTGTAAAGAAGAGGGAGTCAAGCTATTCTCCAAGGCCCCTGAAGGCAGGACAAGAAGCAACGGATGGAAACTCATCAAGGAGAGAACTAAGGAGAAACTTCCTGACAGTGAGGACAATTAACCAGTGGAACAACCTGCCTCCAGAAGCGGTGAATGCTCCAACACTGGAAGTTTTTAAGAAGAGACTGGATGGCCATTTGTCCGAAATGGTATAGGCTTTCCTGCCTGAGCAGGGGGTTGGATTAGATGACCTCCAAGGTCCCTTCCAACTTTATTATTATTATTATTATTATTATTATTATTATTATTATTATTATTATTATTATTATTATTATTATTATTATTATTGTCGTTGTTGTCATCATCATCATCATCATCATTATTAATGTCTCCCCCCCAATCTGTGCTGTTGCTGGGACAGATGGGGCTCCCCACCCCAAGCCCCCCCTTTCCTTGCCTCCCTTAGATTGTCCGGCCACAGGCCATGACCTCAGGGGAACCCAGGAAGAGCACAGACGGGCCCTACATGACCTCCAACTCCCAGGTGCATTTGGGAGCCCTAGTTTGGGTTCGAGAAGAAAAGCTGTGAGAAAAGATAAGGACTGTACTTACCAGGAAGGAGAGGAGACATAGTTATATTTGTAAAGCATTCATCTTGACCTTCTGGACACATTAAAGGAGGCGTAAGACAAGGTGGACACCCCACTGAAGGCAGAAGACAAACACTTTTGCATGAATAACATTCTATGGAGTATCCTAGATGAGCGAAATAAAACATAGAAACCTTAGTTGGATATTTATTTTTCTGATCTTGCCATCTTATTATGTATTAGACAATAGATCATTTCATAGCAAAGCCAGCAGTGAAAATGTCCCTGCGAAGATCAAATGCTCTAGAAACGAGGAGAAAAGGGAACATTTTTATCATCATCTTCATCATCATCATCATTATTATTATCTCAAAAATTCCATTTCTGTATTGGACAGCATGTTGTCTAGGTATACAAGTATTAGAATATAATAATCATCATATTCATAATAATCTTACCAAAATACAATCATATACTAGGAAATAGTCATCATACTGTTAAAAATAGTATTTCCCCCATCAACATTAATTGTATAACGATCAAAATATTTACTAATCCATTATAAATCCTCCTCACATAATCCACATTTTCTCAAATTTCCAACTTTCTAACCTCTGTTTGTATCAGCTAACCATTGGTAAAATAAGCCCTACGTCATATAGTATTCAGTGTCTTCTTTTTCTTTAATTTTTAACATTAACCTATCCAGTATTTTTTTCAATTATATTCTCCTCTGTAGGGTTTTTTTCATTTTTACAAAATTGTGCATAATCTTGACTTGAAGGAAGCATCACTGATCCCCTTTGGCTGCGCCATCCAAAGCCAGAAATAGACAGATGGAGGGCTAAGAAAACGGAACATTTGTCATCCCACTCCCAGGAGTAATTCTAAGGGCAGAATTCACTACCCAAAGGAGCCTCTCCTTTCAGAGGCAGTCTACCTCAGAATGCCAGCCTGGAAAAGCCTCTGTCTCTGCTATGGGCTTCTCTACAAATGGAGAGCACCTCCTCTCCCCTAAAGTCTCCCATGGACCCTCCTTATGCAGCGCATAAGAGAAAACCCCACCAACAAAATGGACCACAACTGGCTCCAATACCATCCCTCCCTCTGCACCCCCTTTTTTTGCTTGATTGTCACCCAAGATCAAAGCTTGACAGCCTTACATGAGTCCAGGTACACGAATGCCACCAACCCCAGGATCAACAGCAGAGTTTTCATTTTGCAATCTCCTCTTCAGCCTGCAAAGTTTAGTCCTGGAGGGCAGCGGGCACTTATTTATACCCCTCTGAGATGACGTCCTTTGGGGGGCTGGATATCTAGGATCAAGAGAGAAGAACAGGGAGATTCAGGAGAAAAGGGGGAGGGCAGCAGGTGTGGCCTTTTTCACCCGACACCAACATGGAAACTGGATCTGACCAGGTGATGAACCAACCGGTCCAGGTCTTCAAGGCAAATACTACCGTTCCGTGTGCAAAACCTGGGCACCTGGACAAGTGGCATCTCTTCCTGTATTTGTACAAGATTATACAATCGTTACATAATGTACAATTAAAAAAAATATCTCTCTGCAAAGTTCAGGGCCTTATTATTATTATTTTTTATTTGTACTTTGATTCACCAACTGGGCAACTTTTCTGCATTTTCTAACTCTCTCAGGTTACGGCGGTGGATTCATTCAAGGAACATGGCTTCCTTGGAGAAGATCTGAGCATGAGGGGTTCTCTCCAAAATTAGCCTGTGGACTAAGGGATTCACAAGATCCAAAAATCAGGATAGACAAGGAAGATGGATACAGGGTTGGTGAGACAAGGCAGTAGGGTGTCTGGTACAAAAATACGAGAAGGATAGATAATTCCAGGGGAGGCCTTGAGACATAGGTCAACAATTCCTGCAAAGAAATGATCCTTTTACTCAAGACATTAAAACCACACATTCTTTAAACCTTTGGGTGTCCAGAGCAGAATGCTGTTGTCCCCCACAAAAAACCCCTTGTCCTTGATAGTGTTCATAGAGAAGGTCTTGAGGGATCAAACCTGGCTTTTATTGTGCCCTACAGGGGCCCAATCCCTTGGTTCAGATTAATTTTCAAGTACAGCTCAAGAGTATGCTGATACATTCTCTTCAGAGAATTATAAACTGATTGTTAGAAACTTAACTTGGAATTTTTTAATGTTCTACACCAAATTGGAAGTGAGAAGTTCAATCAGAGGTCCCAGAAAATTCTTCATCAAAGGATAACAGACTTCTCACGTCTAGGGCTATAAGAAAACCCAGAGAATCAGGTTGAAAAGGGAGAAATTTCCAGGTCAGGATGGAAAGCAGACCCAAAGGAAGAGTCAGGGTCTGTTCCAGGGTGGGTGGCATCAAGTGACATCACTCAATAGTAACGTAAGGAAGATTTTTCAGGACTGTACTCAGTCAGCACCAAACAAATCTATGCTTCTGAATTTCCTCCTGTGACTCTATGATGACCTCCAAGGTCCCTTTCAACTTTATAATGATAATTACAATTATGATTATTATATCAATTGATATTGAAATAACCCTCTAGTTTTGGGCGAGCCAAAATAGGCTATGACATTTTCCTTCTAAGCAAGAGAGAGAGGCCACGTCTCTGTTCTTTTCAGTGATGCCTCTGGGCATAGCAACAATTGCAAAAGGAAGAGAAAAGATTTCTGCTCAAGGTGTGCCAACTCTGGCTTTAATCGGTGGAGAAAAGGACACGTCTCTCTTAATCTCAGTTATATTCGGAGGTACATCCAGAAGGAACATTAAGATACTTCTTCAAAGCTCTTGCATCAATTTTTAAGCTGATTAAATCAGTGAAACTGAAGCCACGAAATGTAGGGAGGGAAAAGGCAGTCAGGGAAATATTTTGAGGGTTCGGACTTACATGGGAAAAGCCCAGGAGAAATGTGGGGGCAGAGACGGACTTAATAAGCCAGGGGGGTCTTCAAACTTGGCCTTGTTATGACTTGTGAACCTCAACTTCCAGTATTCGTCAGCAGCACACCAGCTGAAGAGTTCTGGGAGTTGAAGTCCACAAGTCACAAAAGGGCCAAGTTTGAAGACCCCTGTAATAAGCTTTGGATGAAATGAATAGGGCAATCGCCACGATTAAGGAAACCTCCGTTGTTTTCAGAGAAGCTGCAGTCACAATGAGATACTTTTCTCCAAAACGTGCAAACGTGGCCTTGAATCAATAGCTGAAGTTCCTCTTTCAAGCCCCGTTAAACTGGAAAGTACACAAATTGGCAAAAGATTATCTTCCATATATTTCAGAGCGAAGGCATGTCAGCTAACCAGAGACATCAAAATACGCATTGGAAGAAGGCAGTTGAATATATTTATTTATTTTTTAAAAAATTATGTGACCACCAACTCACTCTCAGTGATACCAGGCAGCATACAAAGATTCTGTTAAATCAGAAAAGGAGGACTAGGGCTGATATGACAGCAGGGTTCCAGTATTTGAGAGGCTGCCACAAAGAAGAGGAGGGGGTCAAGCTATTCTCCAAAGCGCCTGAAGGCAGAACAAGAAGCAACGGAGGAAAACTCATCAAGGAGAGAAGCAACCTGTAACTAAGGAGAAATTTCCTGACAGTGAGGACAATTATTTAGTGGAACAGCTTCTGTCCAGAAGTGGTGGGTGATCCATCACCGTAAGTTTTTTAAGAAGGGGTTGGACAACCATTTGTCTGAAATGGCATAGGGTCTTCTGCTGGTGCAGGGGTTAGACTAGAAGACCTCCAAGATCCCTTCCAAATTCTGTTACTCTTTTATTTAAGGTAAAACAAAGAGTAGAATAGAATAGAATAGAATAGAATAGAATAGAATAGAATAGAATAGAATAGAATAGAAGTTGGAAGGGACCTGGGAGGTCTTCTAGTCCAGCCCCCTACTCAAGCAGGAGCATAGATCTTGCTATTTGGGCCATGTGTTTCCTCCGATATGTTTCTATTCCATTTGTACATTTTCTGGATGTGCCAGTGGAGAGATCTACTCCATGATTAATTTTCTACCATCTTGATGCCAAAGGAATACCTTCCTTGCCTACTAGCCCAGCCTGTCCTTCAGATGTCACGAAAAGATTCTCAACAACAATCCTTTGCTTCCGAACAATCCATGTTTGGGACATGTTACCCTGTCCAGAAAACTTGCATATGGAACAGGATCTAATAGGAGAAAACACCCAAGTCCCCAGAGTCAACATTTGCAGGGGGTCTGACGGCCTTTTAGAGACACTGAAGCGCTTCAAATTCACATGGAGTCCAAGGGAAGATTCTTTCTTTCCTAAAATCTAGGTGGTTCCACAAATTTCCCTAGGAAGGGCTGTGGCTGATGGATTTTGCCACCCTGCTGCCCAGTCAGAGTGGTGGGATCCCTCCATCAGCACCCCCAGAAGACTTGCAAATGGAATAGGAACAGATCAGAGGAAACGTCGAGTCCAAATCAGTAGATTTATGATCTCTGCCTCTCAGGACAATTCTTCCTTCTATTCCATCCAGCATCATCCCTTGCTGGGTCCCAAAAGGGATCATCCCAGAGTCACAATTTGATGTTTCAATAGGATCCATTTAGCTGAAATATCTTGGCTCAGAATGAGGGGGAAGAACTCTGAACCTATGTTTCTTGGGGTGCTTCTAAGTATAAGGGAACTCAAACAAGAAATGTCAACTATTCATTCATTGGGTAGCTACAATATTCCATTGTTCGCCCCCCCTCCCAGGAGTAAACATGCTTAAAATATAACTTATGATCTCTCTCCAGATTAAATGCAACGTTAATAAAAATTTCTCCTTCGCTCCCTGTTTGTTCTGACCCAAATCGGATCTACCGACTGCCTTCTTCCTGTGTATATTCTGAGGTCTCAAGTTGGCTGGTTCAATTAACATGCCTTGGCTCAGAATTATTTAGAAGAACTTTGAGCAAAAGCTTTAATTCCCAGACTTTCACTACCATCAAGGACAATTGGGGCTTTAAAAAGGAACTTTGGCTGTTAATAGAAGAAAAACTTTGCACTTATTAGACAGTAATTTTTGACAGTTATCGTTGTGCCCAAAAGTTTGAGTTTTGAGTTTTGAGTTTGAAAATGAGTTTTATGATCTCTCCACCTACTCAAATTCCATTATGTCCCCCACCTCACTATTTCTCCCCCTGCTGTCTTCCTATGCCAATAACTGATTCAGCTAATAATCCTTGGCTAAATACAACGGGGCTTAAGACAGATCTGCAACGGTCTTTGCTTATGCAAAGCAAACATTGGACACTGTGCAAAATTACGGTCCTGTTCCTATTAGCATGCCGAGAGGCATAAGCTGTGAACAGAGACGTGGCATTCCCTCGTTTGGTTCCTCATTAAAAAAAAGTTCACAATTGCAACACAACCATGCCCATATTCCAGATAGTGTCTTTTCATGCTAATCTGCTGAGTATTTTTAATTTTATTTTTCTTCATGTTAAATCCATCATGCACGCCCTATCCTTCATGCAGGAGACCACTCATTCTGTTTCCATAAACTGTTTTTCAGTCTCTTTCCCTTTTCATCTTTGAAAGACGGCATGATGTAATGAGCTGCGTTTAGCTGAAATGTCTTGGCTCAGAATGAGAGGGAAGAACTTTGAGCCTCCGTTTCTTGGGGTCCTTCTAAGTACAAGGGAACTTGAAACAGAGACATCAACTAATTGATTTGGCAGCTGCAATAGTCTACTGTCCCCCCCCAAAAAAAAGAATAATCATGGTTAGCAGACATCTCTCTCCAGATTAAATTCAAAGTGTCATTGCTATCATCCTTCTCTCACTGCTATGCTCTGCTTAGGTGTAATATACTACAAGGAGAAGGGAGTTTGGGGGTAGATTAAAGGGGGGAAATGCAAGCAAGAAACAGAAAGGATAGAATAGAATAGAATAGAATAGAATAGAATAGAATAGAATAGAATAGAATAGAATAGAATAGAATAGAATAGAACAGAGCTGGAAGGGACTTTGGAGATCTTCCAGCCCAAACCCTACTCAAGCAGGAGACTCTATACCATCTCAGACATGTCAACTATTCATTCACTGGACAGCTACACTATTCTATTGTGTAGGAATAAACATGCTTAACAGATATCTTATGATCTCTCTCCAAATTAAATGCAGTGTTAATAAAATTTCTCCTTCACTCCCGGTTTGTTCTGACCCAAATCGGATCGACCGATGGCTAGTTCAATTAACATGCCTTGGCTCAGAATTACATTGAAG